ACAACTCTTAGTTTTGCTCTAGCAAAAGTTTGCAACAGGCCCATTGTCTCTGATCCATACCCGTTGTTGGCTGGCGCCAAAATTAACCAGGAGTATCAGAAAGTATAGTTGAAAGTATCATACTTTTTTTTGTACTCCTGACGAAGGTCCCCCCTCCCCCCTCCGGGAGACGGTAAGCCCTCTGACCGCTTCGCGGGCCAAGCCCTGTTAATTGTTTTTCTTATAATTTTCATTAACCGGCAAGATATTTCGTTGTAATAGAGAATTTGCAGGTGTCTGAAATTTGATGAATTTCGTGTCTAAGCGGAAACTACTGAATGAACCGATCACGAGGATACCCTTGGTTCACGAATTGAACAATTTTTGGAGAAGATATGACAAATTGATCTAATCTGCTAAAATACGTTTGTTTAAATGGGAAATGTCACCAAATGGCGTCACTAGGCGGTGCATTCACTCGCATTTAAATCTATTTTTATACTATTTCCCAGATCAGAAATAATCATAAAAAATCTGCGAAATCAGCTCTCTAAGCAATTTCAGATGAAGCAATAAAAATTGTGCATGCAAACTCTCCATTTGCAGTGTTCTGGTGAAATTACGAACAAAACTTTTTAAAACTTCCACATAGAAAAATGCATAGCTTGCCCGGAAAATTCATATTTTATGACGAGACATTTGGCAATGTTCATGGAGAGTTTTTTTCAGGATGGGAGTTCAGCACGCGTAGAGTCACGGATTCTTGAGCTTGCAAATTTAATCACGGCGCAGGACGTGCGAATCCTGCTGCGCTTTTGGTTCCTCACTGATTAGGTTCGGATAAGACGAGAAAGCGTTTCGATTTTAAATTGTTCAACAATGGAGATGTTGCATATGTGAGAAATTTGCGATTTGACTGTTGATTCTTATGAAACAGTTCGCGAGAAACACGATGGTGCCTTTGGTTTTCTCTAAAATTAACTCCCAAGCTCAGAAAAAGCTCTGCAAAAGAATTCGGTAAAAACATTGTGCCAAGGTACACAAGTTTTTCTGTTATGATACATTGTTTCCAAAAAATATAAAATAGCGTTTACGGCGTTTTTGCGTTGCACGATAGATATATCTTCTTTGCCTATCGCTGTGTCTATGAATTTCAACAACCAGCCCTCTGACGATGAGTCTCTGAACATTCTGTCCGGAAATGCATCCAATCTCGCCGACAGACCATGCTCATCGCGTAACAATACTCCGCTTTTCGTTCATTCGCAGTTGCGTATCGGAGGGTCCACGACCGGCCCCCGACCCCACCCCCACCCCACCCCTTTCGCGACCCCTAATTTAATATTTCCAGCTCGCGAGACTTATGCAAATCGTCGGAGATGACTCGGCAGGTGCGAGGCTCCATCGCATCGTAAAACGGTGGTCTTAGCTCCGTTTGAATGGAATTTAAACCGCTATTCTCTGCTTTCATCTCCGGGGGATTGTAAATTAGGACAGCGGGAACCTCAATCCCGGTTTGATGCATAAACAATAAAGGTTCCCGGCTCAATTATGCAGCGCTGCCACGCGTTTCTCCGGAAATTTCGACTTTGAAAAGTTCGAGACTCAATGACTGAGTAGACTCGACCTCAAATCCTGACGTACCTCATTGTGAAAGTTATGGGAGGTCTCTCTGAGACAGCGGTGGATTGACAAATATTGAGAGCCATATCCCGCGGTTGTGTGGATTCAAAGATTCTTACTAGGGTGTATGAAACGATCGCACTGGTTGAAATGAGTGGTTTGACTAACGGGGTAAATGATGGACTAACTATAGTGTCTCTCGTGAGTTGCCGTCAGTTAGTCTATTACCTCCTTCCTATGTCCATTGCTTCCACACATTTCCACCAATAGGATCCCTTCGTATTGGCTTCTTTGTCCATGGATTTGTCTATAAATTTCAACGATTAGCGCGCAGGACATCTCTTTGAAGTAACAGAAATGCCGTTTGAAACAAGGAGATTTCCTGTTGCCTCAGCGAATATTCTTGTCCAAGCATTATTAATCGGACGTATTTATGCTAAAAAGATCTATGTGCATAAGATTCACGTGAGACATATCGACGGTGAAACTACCAAACCACGTATCTCGTTTGCGGTGTTTAAAAATCTACGCTCACATTTTATTTTTTTGAAGTAGACCAAATCAATATCATTCCTTGAAATTTTCACGGAATTTTCTCCGCACAAAGAGGAAAAACACAGAAATGCTCAAGACTGGATGTTAAGTAGTCTTTCATTTAAAAAATAAAGTATAACAGGAAGTCTGCGACGTCGCAAACCGAGATACGTGGTTTGGTAGTTTCACCGTCGATATTTCCTTTTTGCATAAATACATCTAATTGGGATTTCTATTGACTCAACAGGAAATTGTCCTCTGTTTGCTAAAAAGAACGCCGTATGATCCCTCTGGCGTTCGCGATATTTCCCTTGATAAAATACGAATTGTAGGGACACTTGTGGTTTTTCTAGGTCTCCATTTTCCTCTTTATGTCAACACTCTCCTCTTACCCCTTACTATGTTTTGCTTTCTTGCACAAAAATCTATGCTACACGAGTCATAATTCAAAATGATCCCCTCCAAACATCCATCCTTTAAGTTCTGACGATTCAAAAGTAACTACCGTAAGTTTTAAAGCTCTTTAAGCTACACGGAGAAAACAACTTCGTGCGTGGGACCCGAAGTTTAGGTCATATGGATCACTGAAGTCTCCGGATTGAGAATCTGAGCACTCTAGGTCCAGCTGCTGAGGTTTGGATACACACATCTGAAACTTCAGTTCTTACATCTGAAGTACTTCGGTTTTCACATCCGAAGAACTTCGGTTCTCACATCCGAAAAACTTCGGTTCTCACATCTGAAGTACTTCATATGTAAGAACTGTTTCAGATGTGTGATCCGAACCTCGACAGCTAGACCTAAAGTGTTCAGATGCTCAATTTGAAAACTTCAGAGATCCATATGACCTAAACTTCGGGTCCCACGCACGAGGTTTTTTTCTCCGTGTAGTTAATTTAGAAATCAAAGGTATAATCCCAGTCTCCGACGTAAAGAGCCTAGATGCGGATCGTCGTAATAAATTAACTAAAACAAAACTAATTTGTTTTATTCATCAAAGTTCCCGATCGATTTACAAGTTTATTATTTTGTGAGTTTTGTCCTCAGAAGTTTCCCGCCACCGCCGAAAACTCGAGGAACCTGAAATATCTCGCCGTTCGCGACTATGGTCAAGTTTCAAGACTCGACGCTTCTCGCAATTGTCCGTCACCGTTTTCACCCCCTCCCCCACCGCTTCCTACAGCCCCACAATTCTGTTTCCTTCAATATAGGTCTCGCCTCGAAGACACTGACCCTCCCTCCCTCCTATAAAATTTTACAAGAACACAGCAGCTGTGGCCCAACGCGGCGGTCACCCAAATTTAAGTTGCTTGGCGGAAGTTCCTCGCTACTCGGGTTGGTGATGCGGTTTAGAATAGACTCCAACTTCGGACTGAGATTTACCCGAATTCGCGACTCAATCGGAATTTAAACCGGACTGGGCCGTATTTGAATCAATCAACCAAACCTAACTCAACTCAATTCCATGGCTCCAAAATACAGGGTGTCCGGAAGTTAAGGTACTTACCTTTCTGGATCAATGAAGATGTTGCATGTGTTAGGAATTTGCGATTTGACTGCTGATTCTTATGTTAAAGTTCGCGAGAAACGGGATGGTGCCACTGGTTCTCTCTGAAATCAACTCCTAAGCTCAGAAAAAGCTCTAAAGTTGAGGCCAAAATGGGGGAGATATTTCACGCTGTCCTGAGAGTCAACCTCTACATCAAGACGAACTCTCCATGCAAAGATAGGGAGTATTAGCAGGGTTTTCGTGTTTTTAGTTTTGGAGTCCCCAAATAAAGTGGCAGCCCTGTCGATGTATTATCTCCCTATCTTTGCATGGAGAGTTCGTCTTGATGCAGAGGTGGACTCTCAGGATAGCGTGGGATATCCCCTCCATTTCGGCCTCAACTTGAGAGCAATTTTTGAGCTTGGGAGTTGATTTCAGAGAAAACCAGTGGCACCATCGTGTTCCTCGCGACCTTTTACATAAAAATCAATAGTCAAATCGCAAATTCCTCACACATGCCACATCCCCATTTCGGCGAAGATTTCATGTAGTTCCAAGTATTCTTGTATCCAATGGGCCTGTTCCAAACTTCAGCTGGAGCGCATAGAAAAAGGCTTAAAAATCACGATGAGCGCATCGGGAAAGTCTGAAATACACTCTTACCTTCAGAACCTGCGTGAGAAATATACGATTTTTTATGGCTCTCGCTTCAAAAACGATACTACGGCACAGGTGGACTTTTCGAAAGAGGAGTCGTTTCATCCTATCTTCAGGGCGCTACGCAATATTCAACATGGCTGACGCTTCCGCGCGCAAATCGCAAGGAAGCAGCACACCGCTTGGTGTTTATCAACGTAAGGGAACTTTAAATCTGCCATGCTAAGAAAAAACGCCGCACGAGCCTTCAAGCGCGTTGCCAAATTTTTTTTCGATAATACACGAATTTTCGAGAAAGCTTATGATTATTTTTCTCCCAATTCTTCAGATTATTTTGTTCGCAATTTCATCTAGAGTTCCTGAAAACTCCAAGGGAAAATATTCATAAATCTCCTTACAAATACACATTTTATCGGAGAAAATTTTGCAACTCTCGAATGCTCTCAACCTTGAGAGCTTTTTTTTGAGCTTGGGATTTGATTTCAGAAAAAACCAGTGGCACCATCGTATTTCTCGCGAACTTTTACATTAGAATCAACAGTCAAATCGGAAATCCCTCACACATGCAAAATCTCCATTTCCTTAGTATATTCGGGTTTTATCGGAGGAAACTTGGCAACGTCAGGGGGCTCATACGACGTTCTTCCTTAGCACGGCAGAATGTGCCGCATCAATTTATGAGGTTTTAATTTCCTTCGTGTTTTCTGTTTCTTTTCAGGCGCAAATCACGAGATCTCAAACGGACATAAGGAATAATCTACAGTATCAGCAGCTACCCTATGGAGACCATCTTAGCTGGTGCTGCGTGTAGGACCACAAGGTGACGTCACCGCGGAACCGCGGTAAAAGGCGAAGCACAGCTCGCACCGGAAGTGACGTAATAAAATGACAGAAAACGCGGGAGCCAATTTCCGGTCGCGCCCCGTTCGTTCCCCCGTTTGTCGCTCCAGACTAGCCGGCCTGGAGTGAAAGTGGGAAATGGTTGAGTGAGTCGTGAGGGAATGGAAAATTCGCTGAAAGGACCCGGCAAACGCGCTGGAGAATCTCAAATATGCACCAAGGCTCGAGCTTTGGATGTTTCGGTTGTTATGGAGCGATGTCATGGCAGTGCGCACGGTGCTTCAAACAAGTTCGATGCGTCTAGATGCGTTGCAAGAATTTATTTTACAATTTTTACTTTAGCGATGCAGAATATTCGAAGTGCCTTCATTGAATTTAGATAGGCAACAATTCAACAGCAAGATTAAAATGACTCGTGGTTTCTTGGCTGTGTGTTTTCTAAGTTTACTATTTATCTCGTTATATACCTAGGATATTGAGAAGCAAAATCAAGGCTCCTGTTCGAATAGAACGATCGAGAATATTTCTCACTCCGGTGCGCGAACTACAAAATGCTAATATTTTGAGTTTCTCTTGTCCATGTATCCACTAATAGTCAGTGATATACTTAGCGTTTGTTTTGGATGTCTAATTTCCAATGAACTTCGTGCCTCAATCTGCGCTCAAAGCAAAACGCAGGCCAGTCTGCAATAAGTTTTCTTGTCCAGAGTAGCTATTTTCAGCCGATTGACTCAAAATCCCTCCCCAGAGTTCGCATAATATCCATCCGCTGTTAAAATTCTTAGAATCTGGATATCCTCCAATCGCTCCATCGTCCAGCGTTGATACCTCCAAGTGACTTCTAAATCCCTCCCCGGAGATCGTCAAATCGTTGATCGGATGCGATTCCGCTGTCACTGCTCTCGGCGTCTGGAGATCCTCCAGCTGTTCCATCGTCCAGCGTGGAGATCTCCAAGCGAATCCTAAATACCCCTTTGGAGGACGTGAATAATTAACTCTGAATCCCTCTTTGGAGATCGTCCCACTGCAATTGCTTACTTTTCAAGCCGCGTCCCGCCTTTAAGTCTCTCGGTGTCTGGGGATCGTCCAACTACTCCGTTGCTCAGCGTGGAGATCTTCTACTTACTTCGTCGCTCAGCGTGGAGATCTTCTAACCACTCCGTCGGTAAGCGTGGAGATCTTTTAACACTCCGTCGCTCAGCGTGGAGATCTTCGAGCTACTCCATCGCTCAGCGTGGAGATCTTCTAACTACTCCGTCGCTCAACGTGGAGATCTTCTAACCACTCCATCGCTCAGCGTGGAGATCTTTTAACCACTCCGTCGGTAAGCGTGGATATCTTTTAACACTCCGTCGCTCAGCGTGGAGATCTTCGAGCTACTCCATCGCTCAGCGTGGAGATCTTCCAACTACTCAGTCCCTCAGCGTGGAGATCTCCTAACTACTCCGTCGGTAAGCGTAGAGGTCGTCTAAGTACTCCGTCGAGATCACCCTTACTTCGACGCGGTCGGATGCCGTTTAGGACTCGGGGCGTCTGGAGATCGTGAGTGCGCGATGCGGAGCGTGGAGAGCAAGACGACGCTGCTGGCGGCGCCGCCTCTGGACAACTTCACGTGTTCGCCCTCCCGGCCGCCGGCTTTGACGGCGCTGGGCCTCACGCAGGCCTTCTTCATCGCCACCCTCTCGCTCAGCATCCTCGTCGCCAACCTCCTCGTCATCACCGTCATCAACAGCCGCCGCTACTCCAAGTACATTCACTCACAGGTAGGCATCCATCCATTCTTTCCTCAATATTAAATGGGGGGGGGGGGTGACATATCGGGGAAAAGCAGCGACAAGAGACCCTCCACTGGCCTCCTAGCGACAGGTGGAAGCTTTTACTTTCGGGGTTTCAACAATGCCTTATGGACAATTATTAGCGAGCAACAGTCATCACCCAACTTCTGGCTGTTGAATTACCTACATGGTTGATGATGAGCTTCGGATGACGTCATGAGCCGAACAACTTTCCCAAACGTCGGCCATTTTCGGCTTGTTTGCAAAACGAAACTGCCAACACGTTCGTGAACATCAACCATGTAGGTAAGTCAACAGTAGAATGCTGAAGTCCCGAAAGTAAAAGCTTCCACCATGGCCAAGATACTAGTGGAGGGTCTCTTGTCTCTAGTCTGTCATCATATCTGAACGACATCTTCGCACTCAAGGGTAAATGACTTGCCGATCTATGATATTTTAAATTATGTACACTGGAAAAAAAGGACACATTAGATCTAGAGTCCAGACTCTTAAAAACATCGACAAGAAACAATACTCTTGATTCGATCGGAGTTTTGCTTACATCAAGAACCAAGCCTCTTAAATTGAGCGGATTTCCTTTTGATTCAAGCAAAAATCTGATTGAATCGAGAGTATTTTTTCTTGTCAATGTTTTTAAGAGTCTGGACTCTAGATCCAATGTGTTATTTTTTCCAGTGTATGTCGTCCAACGAGTCGATGCCGGTATGACCACTTTCATGTACACTGCCGTGTTAAGGGAAAACGCCTGTTTTTAGACATTTAGTTATTGGCAGGAGACAATTTGCGGCTAGCGAAACTAAGAAACATTCTTAACTCGATGTTTTCGAATATGTGTATTGGTTCCTATCAATCCTATCTGATCAACGCGGTCCAAATATATGACCGAGTGCCTGTGCCTGATACCCCATTCTGCAGTGCGGAGGAAGAATGTTGTATGAGCTATCAGGCGTCGCCAAATTTTCTCGGGTGAATCACGAATCCTAAAGACGATTTGTAAATATTTTTCTTCTACCTTTTTAGAATCGCAATTTCACCTGAAGTTCCTGGAAATTTCAGGGCAAAATATAGGTAGCGTTCCTCAAAAATAAACATTTTATCGAAGGAAATTTGGATTGCAGCTTGCAAAATGGAACCACGAGCATTGCAAAGATGCTGAGATTGTGCAAATTCGTCCTTTGCAGTATAATAACTGAAACTATGAATAAAGATGAAATTTACATTGTAATTTTTGTCTTAGATTCACAGTTTTCGGCGAGTAAGATAGAAACTGGCAATGGATAATCAGGTTTTCTTCGAAGACGAAAGAAGTTGCACAATCTTAGCAACATTGCACACTGAAAAAAAATTCTCGGCGTTTTTACGGAGGTCCGTTGGTACCTTTACCATCTCACTTTTTTTTACCAATTATTGGTATTTTTACCAAGACAGACTGGTAAGCTTATCTAAAAACCGGTATTTTTACTGTTTTTTTTTCAGGTAAGAATACCACGTTTATTGGTAATCAATTCCCGATAACTTTGCCATTTTATCTCGGTAATTCTACCACGGTCGATAAAAAATATTGGCGTTTTTACCAAGGACCAGTAACCTTACGAGAATGTTCAATAATTTTACTGAGATTTCTCGGTAAAATTACCAATTCCATAAATGGTAATTTTACAAAGAAAAAACTGGAATCAAATAGAACCCTGAATTCTTGGTAATTTTACCCTTTTCTTAGTAAATACACCGAGATTTTTTTTCAGTGCAATGCTCGTGATTCCTTCTTGCAAAATGCAATCCATTTGGCGACTCTCGAATGTTCATACGGCGTTTTTCCTTAGCACGGCATATTAAACTCCTCTGTAAAAATATTCGTTTGGATCCTTGGGCTCTTCTAGGCGAGAAACTCGGTGCGAGGGGTAATCATCATGACAAGGCGGTGGGGCGGTGAGTGACACGTAAAATGAACGCAAAGTGTGTGTAATCCCACCCCGGGTGCGTTGTACTCCTGGCGAACCCATTTATACTCCTGTCGGCTTAGCGCGCGGCTCACGGCGAAAAACTCCCGTCTGAGGACGACCCTTGAATAACCCCCCCTGAACAAGTGCCTTAACGCCTACCGCCTTTCAATCGGAATAGGCCTCTTTGGCTCCTCTGTCAAAAATCCAACTTAATTTCAGTGGCGTAGCGTGCTTTGCGATATATCGATTGATATGCCGTTTAAACCTATGGAAAAGGATCGATAAACAGGGTCGAACACCTTAATAATCGATTCTTTACCATAGGTTTAAATGGCATAACAATCGATACATCGCAATTCACGCCACGCCATTGCTTAATTTGTGCTCGGCTCTCGATTTTGCTCAAAGAGCTCCCGTTTCCCTTGGATGTGTGACCTCGTTTTCTGCCGTCCTCAGGCCTCGTCTCCACGAAGTCGGGACGAAGTCTACGAAGGCGGGAAAAATATTGAGTAGGTCAATATCAAGTGTGGGAACCAAAATAGTCAGGTATGTAGTTACATAGGTATGCAAGTATTTCAAAATCATAAGTTGAAAAACGATGACTCCGGGAGTTTAAAAATTAGAGCCAAACATAGAGCGGAACGGCGCGCGGCGTGCTGCCAGCGCTGAACTCGCACTGGCGCCTACAAACATAAGGGGATACTTCACTCATTGCGCAATGCTTGAAGTATCCCCTTAGGTTTGTAGGCGCTGGCGGGCTGCTCACCGCGCTGCAACGTGCCACGGCGCCTCAAGCAATTATTTCACAATATAAGTGTTGCACAGTATCATACGAAATTGAAGGCGCTCCAACATGTTAAGAATCATAGTATTTAACAGTTGTTAAATACTTAGCACCTATATACAATAGCACACAATAAATACTAGAACCTATGAAATGCTGAATTACCCGCTACGATAGTTACTTCAGCAATTCCGATATGTAAAACCAGCTGCTGTAACGGGTAATTCGGCATTTTATAACTCTCACACATTGTTTTTACATCCAGAATGTTAAATCAACTTCAATGTTTTTTTCGGTGGAGATTTCCAGATACTCATGATGTAGCGACACGTTTACATCATTGTAATCGCGCTGGTTTCTTTCTGCTAAATGCATCCATTCGGCATCGCCTAATGGCCATGGCGTGGCGTGAACTGCGATATATCGATTGTCATGCCGTCTAAACCAATGGAACAGGATCGATAAACAGGGTGTTCGCAGCGATCACCTTAATAATCGATTCTTTACCATAGGTTTAAATGGCATAACAATCGATACATCGCAATTCACGCCACGCCACTGCAAACGGCTCATTCGGGGTTTATCCTCAGCACGGCAGAGCTGAGGCAAGCGTTTTTGCAGTTTCATCGTCGTTTTATTTTTGCTTCGGCTGAAGTTTGAAACAGACTCATTGATAACATCGGCATCAGCGGAGTCTTCAAAGGGACACGTCGTCTAAGTGGGCTCGCATGGTGTTACACACACATTGATCGGCCGCGCCGCCGCCAGCGCACAGTGGATCGAGTCAATTTGAGAGGTCGGACCTGAAATTTTTAACTAAAACTGCAAATTTTGATGTTTAATTGACCACATTTAAAATTTTAAGGGGTGTGTAGGGAAAAGAGAGGAAAGGGAAGAGAATAACGACAAAACTAGCTAGATCCCAAAAAGTGTAGGGAAAAAGGGGGGAAAGGGAAGAGAATAACGACAAAACTAGCTAGATCACAAAAACTGTAGGGAAAAGGGGGAAAAGGGAAGAAAATAACGACAAGACTAGCTATATCACAGGAGCGTGTATATGTCGCAGGCAAATAGTAAAATCGGGCATTTTGTCAAATACCTAGGCAAACGGTCAAATATTCTAACTTAGATTGAAATTCTGATTTTTTTCCTAATTTCAGACAAAATCATTCATTGCTCCTGCAAGAAAAAAGTCTCAGTAAAAATTTGCACACACAATAGTGTTTTAAACTGAAGCTTCTAAGGAGACACTGATCTTGAAATTTTCAGCAGGTCGTAAAATAATGAATTTTTGGAATTTTAACATTTAAAAATATAAGAAGCAATTGAAGAGGAAGAGACATAAAGAGTTCGTAGGTTTCATGAGTTATTTTCCCAAAAATAGTGAAAAATCGTGAGCTCTTCGCCATAAATTCACAAAATTTTGTAGACAGTCAAAATTTGACTATGTGCCTAGGCATTTGACAAAATGCCTGATTCCACTATTTGCCTGCGACATATATACGTGAGAAGAACAAGGAGACAAGTGATGGTGCGTAACCATAGAAACATACATATGCAATATACAGGCAAAATAGTACAGGGCGCTTCCAGCAGACAATTTTACGAGGAAACCAATGGAGCCACTTTTAGAACCTCACACTGAAAAAAAATTATCGGCGTTTTTACCAAGGTCCGTTGGTACCTTTACCATCTCACTTTTTTTTACCAATTATTGGTAATTTTACCACTACAGACTGGTAAGCTTACCTAAAAACCGGTATTTTTACTGTTTTTTCAGGTAAGAATACCGTTTTTATTGGTAATCAATTCCCGGTAACTTTGCCATTTTATCGCGGTAATTCTACCACAGTCGATAAAAAATATTGGCGTTCTTACCAAGGTCCAGTAAAATTACCGAGAAAGTTCAATAATTTTACTGAGATTTCTTGGTAAAATTACCAATTCCATAAATGACAATTTTACCATGAAAAACTGGGATCAAATAGAACCCTGAATTCTTGGTAATTTTACCCTTTTCTTAGTAAATACACCGAGATTTTTTTTCAGTGTACAGGCAAAATCGTACAGGGTGCTGCCAGCAGACAATTTTACGAGGAGACCAATGGAGCCATTTTTAGAACCTCAATCTTTTGTACGAATGGAGTTTTAAGCTTTTAAAGTTCCCATATTTTGTCCGACCCTCCTATCGACTCCATCCACCGAGCGGTGTGCGAGGAAGGGGGCATTTGAGGGGGGCG